TTGGAATGAACAAATGCACATCACCTATCAGTAGGCCAGCCACTTCATTTTTAACACCTCGAATGCTTTTCTTGATGTGCATTGCAAACAGTTGTTATGGCAGATGTACATGTAAAGGTGTTTATTAACATTTGCAAAAGAAACTTCACATACATTCCATACCTAAATGTACAAAAAGCAAATTGGAAGTAAGACACTTCAGTACTTGGTCAAACTTTTACATATAAAGCTGTCCATAACTTTTCAGTATTCCAGTAACTTACAACAAAGACTTTTGATGATTTGTTAGAGAATTAATAGATATATTTTCTGTTCTTAACATGAACCCACCTGTGACCTGTTGGTGCAATAAAGTACAGACAGCAGTGAACTCTGCTGTCAGGGACTCGAGGCTTTCTGTTGATGCTAGTTTCTTCTTTCAAATATTTGTTGTACTGTTCATTTATGTACTGCAGAATTGGGTCCCAGCTGTTACAACATTATACAAAAACACATGAAATAACTATTGTCATTATCAAACAGACCTTCAAATGTTCCCTCTTTTACCTTCATTTTTGTCTAAAGAATTCCCCACTCCACTAAATACAAGTGATTCAAGTTTGAGTAAATATGAGTAAAATCTCATAGATTAAATAAATTGAACATATGCCATGAAATGCTGCTCAAATACTTACAACCAACTGGCAGGATTTGCCATAAGAGTTAGAGTACATGATGTGCAAGTACAAAACCATACTTAGGTAATGAACAGTACAACAGCCTTACCAACTTTCATTATTGATCTGATCACCAAACCCAGGTGTGTCTGTGATGGTAAGTTTCAATCTGACTCCTTTTTCCTCAATAACTGAAAATTAAGAAATAAAATTTAAGCTTATAATGATATTTATAAGGATTTACGTTATTGCTGCCATAAACATTCCAGGTACCATATCTCACCCAAAAAGAAAAAAATAACAAAGAAAAAACAAAGCTAAGTATAAGATAGCAACGAAACCAAACACACCATGACTAACTGATTTGACTTCAACAGTCTTGGGAATACAGGGAGTGGCTCCAGTGGAAGATATCCTACTCAATCTTCCTTTAAATAAAGTGTTCACCATGGTTGATTTACCTAGGCCTGTTGCACCTGGAAAACACAAGAAAGGAGTCTTATGGTTTTATGTTCTTCATAACTTTGAATTAGGAAATAATTTTTGTAATTTTTTCAAAGAAAAATACTTCTTCTATATGTCAAGTAAGAAAAGATGACAGGAATTTTTTTTCATGTATCAAACTAATGCTAAATGTATTATACACTGACTTGACCTGGTAAAACATTTTGTATTCATTTATAGTAGTCACACTAGAACTAAATTCTCTTGATGAAAAGTAGAATTAAAGGTATCAAAAATCAAACCACAAATGGCAAAGACAAAACTTACCAACAACCATGAGGTTAAATTCAAATCCTCTTTTGAGAGATTTTTTGCGGATTTGCTCCTGCACTGTATCAAATCCAACATAACCTTCTAGAACTGTCTTCAACTTTCCCCAATGTGTCATAGCTTGCATTGTCTCCATCATGATCTCTATAAAGTTCTGATAAGAAAGCAACCCTAAAGCAAACAGGAAAACAGTCATGATTGTTACAATTGATCCTTTGTTCAATGATGTTTCTTCTAAACAGACAAGTATCATGGCCAAAACTATGATTCTGCATGTAGCTGGAACCATTAATGAATATGATTCATGTTTTTCTTCTTAAAATGAAGACAAAAATTAAGAAACACGATGGAGGAAGTAATGACAAGGATGACTGTGTATTAAAAAGATGTTTTCAAATCAAGATGGAGTATCCTTTATCATGTACAATAATTTAGCTAGTTTCTCACTTTCAATGTGATCTTGATGCATGTGGCTGGCACTTGATACCTTAATAATCTGAGGTGTCTGGTAAAAATGGATAGCTAAAACCTAAGGGTTGCTACGTCTCCAACTCATCTCTAATTTAGGCAGCTGTAATCACAATGAGCTGTTCAACTAGTAAAATCAAACCATAAAATGCTTTGTTGCACCTTTTTCAGCCTTGCTTTCTGCTTTATTGTTTATTGTTTCTTTCTCATTTTCACTGAGCTGAGCTCCCAGCAGTTGTACTGCAAGAGTTGAGATTGTTGCCACATCAACATACCCAGTCTCCTCAACATCAGCAAACTTAAACACCTTAGACAAAGCTGGAAAAATTAAACACAACATTGAGTTGAAACATACAGAAAGTTATATTTTTATCCATGGATGAAATATTCATCACTCACCTTCAAGGACATTTGGCTTGGTTTCAATCCCAGTCCCCTCTGGAAATGTCCCTTTTATAACATACCATCCTAGAGATCCCTTCCCCTCCCATCTTCTCCCCCTTAGGATTTCAAAAAACAGGGTTGATAAAAGATATATTTGGAGTAACAGATCAAACACAATTCTTTCAAACTGGAACTCTCACTGTGACAATAACTCTTCATAAAATACACAGAGTGGAGTGCATTTTACAAAATGAAAGGAATATAAGACAAACACTGTTTATTTAGACAGGGAGAAGGAAACTTTAAGTTATCACCTGTACAACAAAGACCTTATTTATCAGAATTTACATGGATGTCAAGTAACTTGTAGTATTTGGATGCTAAAAATATCAGGAAAACAGGCTGGCACAAAAAAAAATATTGTGACTAAAACTTAAGAACTTCAAATCTCTAGCACACATCAGTACAATAGTATGGACACTGATAACAAATTTAATGCAATAAAGTTAAAATGTCAACAATTTGAAATTAGAACTGAACAACAATTAAACTAAAACACTCTATACAGTTTAAGATTTATGAATGAAACAACATTTTTGAAGCCAGTACATACTGTAAAAACAACTTCAAGTGCTTATTCCATTCTACTGATTGACTCCATGTGACACAAGACAATAGCAGTAGTTTGACAGGTGGTAAGAAAGCTCTCTTGTAGGGACACTCCCTTCCTACCACAATAAATTTGGTTAAGAGCCAAATTTTTTGCCTCACATTTATCCAAGATTTGCTAGAATTTTATAAACAAGGATTCCTTTTAACCAGAGCAACTTCTTTATTTTAATTGGCTCCAAAAGTTCACTGCGTCGTACATGAGATTTTTTTATCGTTGATAAAATATCACAAGTACATTTGAACGTAAATGGTTATTGTATGGTCTCACATTTTCAACGCAAAAATCCGTAACAGAACGAGAAGAACCCCCTAAACAACACACATTTTTCAAGATGAGAGACATTTAGTCATTCGTTAGTTTCTGAGTTACAGAATAAGCTTTTTTTGCGGAAATTTTCAATGATTATAAACTACGCTTTTCTTTCAACATTTTCACTCGTGATGAATGGAAAACTTTAAATCCTTCAGCGCGTGAATTATAAATGATTCCCGCCTCCAGCAAAGTGTACACAGTACTCACAATCACGAAAGGCGGATTGATCCGGAAATTCCATATCCATTGAGTAGTTTTTAAAGTGAAATAACCAAATAATTATTGGAAAAACACACGTAGAGCATGAGTTAAAAGAACTGATTGCTTTGAAAGCAAAACGGGTCAAACAGAAAACAATGGTTTTATTTTGAGAAAAGAGCCAATCGATTTGTCGCAAATCTTCATAAAAGTTTAAAGCGCTTTTAAACAATAACGATTTAATCATGTTGTGTGCTATCAAAAACCACGTACATGCATAAGTAATTCCAATACTGCAAAAGACAAAATGAAACTGCAATATATATAGTGGCTGGAATATTTGCAGGGTTAGCCTAACCTAGTGTGAAATAACGGAGGAAAGCTATAACTATTCGTGAAAAGCGAATTATCAGTCTAGACATGTTAACGAGATGCTCTAAGTAAGCGCAAAGGAATGCTTTTAAGCCTTGTTCGAAGGGCCAAGAATGTATACATTTGCGGAACGAATCAATAGTAACAACACAAAACGATTCATCAAATCAGTAAAATAAACAATTCTGACTTACCATCGGTCTGAGCCCCTGTCAGGAGGAATTGCTGAAACACAGAAAACATTTGTCTGTCAGAAAGAAGAACCACAAGGTTTGAGATGTGATACTACTTAGAGTTTACCTTATCAGAGGAAGCCATCTCCAGTCACATCGTTTGTGTTGCTGCAGTACTTGCTGTAAGCGGAAGTATTCTAGAAGTAGTTACCAGTGTCCGTCTGACGTTATGTAACGTCACGTTAAGATTGCGTGACGTACATAGGATATCAAAGGTCACGGAAGGTAAAAACCCTGCATGATACTGCGTTAGAGTTTAAGGCCCTATTCACACAAGCAAAAACATGTTTAGTTAAACCAGATTTAACTTAATGAAAATCAGAAACAGAGAACTGAAACACTGAATCTTCCATAGGTTTCAAGCAATCACTAACTTGTATTTTCAATGTTCTAAATTACAGTCGACAAACATCGCTTTAAGCACAGGCGGCCCAAGCTCACGTCTCGAGAAAAAGCCAACGAGGAATTCATGAACGCGTCACGCGTTGTGTGACTCGGTGTTAAGTTACGGGAGGAACCGTTGAAAATTTGAACACGTTATAAGGAATAGTATGGGGAACGAAATATGGTCGATTTACAACGATAAATATTTCGAAATATGAATATTTTACACGTAAAATCAATAAAAACTTACTCATGCCCCGTGTATCCGTCGTAGTTTCTGGCGATTTCTGCTGTTTTAAGCTTGCTTTACTATCACTGTTATCCATGTCTTTTGAATTTCATGAATTCATCGTTGGCTTTTTCTCGAGACGTGAGCTTGGGCCGCCTGTGCTTTAAGCAGCTTCTATGAAGAAAACAATTTTTAACAGTGATTGACAAAACGGCTTTGATGCATGTTTGAGCTTTGGTGTGATTGGGGTATTTATTGCACAGTCTCTGTCTGTCTGTCTGTCTGTCTGTCTGTCTGTTTGTCTGTCTCTCTCTCTCTAGCCAAACGGTTTGTGTTTTACCAAAAAAAAAAAAAAAGAAAAACAACGAGGAGTACCCACACAGTATCTCTTCTATACGCAGATGACATTGAAACAAAGCTGTTGATGTTCCAGATGATTGGTCTATAAACAACTTCCCTCTTGCAGCCTCACTCACTGTTCAAAAACCCCTGCGGCAGCGCCCACCAAGAGCTTCAATTATTATATTTTGCAAAATATCTCTGTAAATTGATCCTCTTTATGTGTAGTTAATCAACGGTTCTGAGGAATACACGAGATTTTAATAAAATACTCACAATCTCCAAGCGGATACGGATAGGCTGATTACAACCTCAGTATTTGATGACAAAATATAAAGATACTGAATCAAATTAAATACTGCTTCAAATGTTCATAATTGTGGAAAGTTGTTTATCATGGTTACGTCGAGGTCTGAAATTTTCCTACGTCATTATTGAAATACAGGATGGAATGCTTCCTATGAGGCAAAAAAATTAAAGCGTTAGTTCACTATCACTGGGTTACAGATGTTGATAGACTGAGCCCGGGAGTTTTCTGATAACGTGAATGACGTCATGCTTTGTTACGAGTTCTCTAACAACGTAAAGACGCATTCCTGCTTAGAGATAAGACTGGAGTTGTTTTCGTTTAACAGATGGAAGTGGAACTAAAACAAACAATGCAAATTTCAAGTTCAGCTGCGCTGAGTGGGCACAATGAGTTGTTTACATACGTGAACCGTTGATTTCGTGACGTGAGCAGAAAACCCCCTTGAGAGAATAACCGTAGCGTGATGGAATAGAAAGAATGTCAGTTTGACTGAAGATCCTGTTGTATGACACTTTTTTGAGGTTTAAAACACGAAGTAAATCGAGGCAATTGGGACATATCAGGTATGTAGAAGACCTTCGATGACAAATTTCTCGGGAGACCCAGTTCATCAAGGATATCAGAACGTATTTTCTGTTTCTTTTTTCACACTGTAACTGAAAGTGGTCACATGGTTGGGAGTGATAACTAATTAGTCGAGATTATGTTATTGACTTGCGGTGCGATTTAGATAACTGACGGACACAACCACACCAAGAAGAGAAAAATCTGTTGAAAACCTTTATTGAGATAACAGTTTTTCTGTAAGTAACCCTGTGAGTTGCTTATTTGCGGATATCTTTCCCTGAAAAGATTTGCAAATATTCTTTTGTATGACAGTGTTTCTCAAGTGGTTACCTTTTCGAATAAAATACCGGATGAAGATAATCAGTCCTCTTAAATTCGCATTACGGCCAGTTGTTTCACATTCTTGGGCCGATAAGAAAATTTGAAGATAACCTTCAACTGACTTTGTAGCGAAGTCGGTTCCTGTTTGTTTACAGTTGAAGTATTCCGCATAATAATAACGTGTCGGTATCGACTCATCTTTTTATTTCCGGTAATCAAAGCAAGCTTTGCTTTAATTGTACAAGGTCAGTCATCGATCACCTCGACTGCAAGGAAAGTGTTCGCGAGAATCACGACTTGTTTTTTACACCAAAGATTTCATATTTTTTAGCAAGTGGACTTAAACAAAAGAGCGATGAATTACAACCTTTAGTGAACCTCAGCAGGAAAGAACTTTTACTAAAACTTTTTTCGATCTGTCCAGCTGAGGGTATCTTGAAACTGTCTAGGAGAAGCTGACCGTTGGAGCTTTGCTGAGCCGTATTCCTGAATAGATAGAGGAAGACTGTGTCTGGATTTTATTCTTTTGCTGATTAAGGTAATTAAAGAGCATGAACGCCCGACTTAAAGCCAAGATATCAAATCGACGGAGCTTTGTGGAAAGGAAGAAAGCTGTTTGCGATGAGACAAGATTTCTTATAATCTCTGGAAACAGTCCCGAGGCCGCTGAACAGAAACAACTATTTGATCCAAGTTGCTTGAGCTCGATGGTTCTAGATCTTCAGTCTGTGAAAGGCTCAAGCTCAATTGTACAGAATCAGTGTTTTGCAACAACTCGAGCGCCGACTGAAGTGAAGTGTAAACCAGGATCTCGTGACACATGCGGCAGTTATCCGCATGTCCTTGCAGCTGTTAGTGGCGAAGTAAAGTGTTGGCTTCCAAGCCCGTTACTGATGAAGCGTCGAAACGCGATTTGCGATGAGATCGAAAAAAGAACAATAGCTATGTCGGGTAGAACTTTAAGGCAAAAGAGAGTTGATATGCTTCGCTCCATTGCGCTGACACAATTCTCTTTGTTATGAATATTTTTCTACTAATTCAATGTCAAAGATTCATCAATTTCGCTTTTATGTTTCATGTTATACAAAATTCTTAGTCTGAAGCATAACTTGCACTAGAAAAAGTGTTGAGATCGATTTTGCGTATACGCTCTCTATTCAACTCCCTCCAAAAAATTAAGACAATCCTAGTTCATAATCCCTTAACTATACGGATTTCAGTTTACAAGGTAGACGTGCAGGGCGGTTACTTTACATAAGGATTCTTAAGGCCCCTGTCTTCTAGAAAATACGTTTTTAATTCAAACAATGTATCTCAGCAAAATTTGTTCCGACCTGTAATAATATGTAATTGACTAATACAAGTTACATTATCATTGTTTATAATATCCAGTGTTGTTACCAAACGGGATGAATCAAAGCTCTTCAGTGGAAGTCGGGTGATTTTTCAAACAGCATTCTCTAAATTTCGTGTCTTAACTCGATGAATTCCCTAGGAGTTGAAAAATGCTGGAAAAATCGATCTGTATTTTGTTTGGGTGTAAATGATCATCTTTGACCTCTTTGGCGTCAATCACAATGCCGTGGGCAGTTTAACTGATACAGTAATGGTGACTCATTGACCAAAACCGAAAATATGTGAATTTTGATAAAAGAACCGAATACTGGTATTGAAAAGTAATTTGATTTGCCGTGTGATAGAGAAAGTATTCCTCAAAGGCGATTAAACCTCCAGCGTGGTGTGGCTGTACAATAGTGTTATTAGGTTTGCAATACGTACATATTCAAGCACAACTATTCTCAAAGCCCTTTAGAGTTGATGCAATCAATGCTACGCGATGAATTCACCCTTATGTAGCAGATTAAAAGCTGTGATTTGATTAAAAGCGGTTTGGATTTACGGGGGCAACCCAGCGTCTAATAAAAATTTATAATTATACGTGATTTGAATGAATACACAGATAAATACTACGAAATCACCACTTTCGGAGAGTAATACATATTAAATGTCTCAGGATCATTTTGTTCTTCATCGTATTTACTTAGTGGTGACCTTTCTCAGCACCACAGTTCAATCGGTAAATTCTTACCTTTGTCTTTATCAGATTTTCGCGACTCCTAAATGAGATTAAGAACAAAAATCCGATTTGAAGACTTAACCAGAAGAAAAAGATCAATCTGCGGAATGTGCAGTCTAGAAAACCCGATTAAATCTTCTGCAATGGAAGGAATTCAAGGATCGTTAGTCATACTGTTATGTTATAAACTCTCGCAACATGAATTTTTTCCCTTTTCTTTCTTTCTCAAGGTGCAGTTCAGGGAGGTTTTTGGTCGGGAGAGAATTTATTGTATTATGTTTATATTCTAAATTCAAGTGAATGGAGGAAAATGCAATAACATCATAGAGTGAAATCAAAATGAGACAATGAAAACAAAGACTACAAGATAAAAAAAACACAACAAAAACCAAACCAAACAAAAACTCTTAAAACTGGGCCGGATAGAATATCAGAGATAAGATAAGAAAAGATTTTTCATGTAAGTTTCCCAACCCAGCAGCCTAAGAATCCAAGAATCATCAACAATCATTTAACCCCAATAGGACTCCTAGACGCATAAAGGAAAAAATCCCCTCAGGAGACTTCGTATTATCTGCCTTCTAGAAAACGCCCTCGATCTATTTAACCAATTAACCAAGAGTTTTAAGGGCTGACATATTCATGGAAGCAAAGCTGAAGTTTTTAGGTTTTGTAAATAAAAATGCAAATCTGTTTGTTTGAAGAGTTAAAAGCTTTTAAAAGGCTGAGTTTTTCTCTAAGCGCGTGTATATGAAATCAGTCTGATACGAAATGAAACGGATGATGATTTTTAACAACTGTGGCAGAACCAAAACTCACAGAACTACCTCCCTCTTAGACAACTCATCCCTAACTAATTTACCGGTGTATTTCATCGAGGATGTTTTTTTTGCTTTTTGTAGTGCACCGCAAAACTTGAATCAGCGTTCTGTCTGAGAATAACGCTTCCTGAAGTGTAGCGATAGGCTTTTAGGTTGTTTGTGACCGTTCTCCTGTGTCTATTTTCGCTTTGTTACCAGTTTGCGAGGTTACTTGCCATATCAATTTTTTTGTCGGCTGCACGCGTTTCAAAGAAGGATACCGTCTTTGCTTAAAGTTCTGTTCTAACAACTGCGCTTTCAAAGATTCTAAACAAAGCAATTTTACACTAAATCTTTCAAATGGCCAGTTAATTTTTCTTTGCTCAGCTTTTGCACGCAGCAGATGTTTCATTGTTTTCATACGAACGGTTTAACACCTAAATTTACTCTATTTATGTAATGCTCCATATATGGTTTGAAACGACAAACATAAAGTGGCAACCTTGTTCATTTTACACGTTTTAGAGATTCGAAAAGTCTAGCGCGATTTGTAGCGCTTGCTTGGAGGAAATTCATTCCTATTTCTGACCATCCATCGTTACTAGAAATGCAAGAGTTGTCACCAGTATCGGTGAAAACTGTTTTGCTTATCGCCGTCCTGATGGCGACAGGTAAGAAAAGTGAAATTACTGCGCAAGGTTAGGAAAGATTTCCGTATAGGCCCATACCATTCTATATCAAAGCTGTAGACTTAAAGGCAATCTACTGTTTCCGCTATTGTTTCTTTGTCTAAAACTGTATGTATAATGAAGATCACATGGCTTTCCCAGGGTTAATTTCGAGACACAAAGAGAGCGGTTCTTTATCTAGGCTAAATTCGTAAAGATATATTTTGCGTTTAGCCAAAACTTCACATTTGCCTCCGGTTGAGTCTTGAAGCAAAAGTAAATAACAGCAATATTACAATTAATTTTTATTGTTTTTGAGTTACAGTTGCTTTTAACTAAGAAAAAAAGCAGCTCTTCGCTATGATGGGAAACAGCCTATCAGCATTCGTCAGAGTTTATCACCATTTATTCCGCCGGGTTAAGGAAATCGAAACGCAGGCCAGATGCCGTCAAAATAACATCCTAACGCCGATGAACCCTATCTTTGTAGTTCATCCGACACAAAAGCTACGGTGCTTTTTAAACGCACAATCTTTCGAGTGCATTTCAAGACACATCTATATCTGAATACGTTTACTTCAAACGCCGCTTTGTTTGGCCAAAGATAATTGTCGTCGTAAACTGTGCAAACAGTAAAATTGACGAGTTATTTAGAACCTGTCATCTTCAGGAAACTCAATTAGGTTTATAGGATACCGGGTTAAAAACACACCTTTGCGAGTCTTAGCTATGACAACTATGCAAAATTTTCTCTACCATTCGAGGTAGCTCGATTACTTCTTTGCCTCTATAGTCATTTAATTTCTTTCCAAGAAGCAGGTTTTACCCGTAAAGCTCGAAGCAAGGGCTTATTGGGAGACTCAAATAAAACGTAGAAATGAATTAACCATACAGGGATGTTTTTCATCGTTTCGTGTGAGCCATTTGTCATTTATAATTATCCTGTCAACAGTTAATCAAAAGAAAACAAAGTTTTCCATGAGTGAGATTAACAGCCAAATTCCACATGGAATATTTCAATGCCCGTCCCGTTTGCCATTGGTAACGTGACGTCATGCTGACGACAACTCCTGTATGGTCGAAGTTTTGACAAAGAAAAAAAGTTGAAATTCAATGAAATAGAATTGAAGACGCTGATTGGGGATAAATTTCCCCTACTGACGATCTCTTTCAAGAACAAGCTTCAAATTTCCTGATCAGGTGTTCTTCTCTGATCATGTCATGCCTTTCAGTGACATTATCGCAGGTTTTGTTTTCTATGTAGGTTTTTCAAGATTCTCCAGAAATGCTGCGCTGGCGGATGGTGGAAAATGTTCATTACCATCTGTCACAGGACCATGCCGGGGACTCTTTATTAAGTGGTTCTACAACTCTGGGTCAAAATCCTGCCAGCAGTTCACATATGGAGGCTGTGATGGAAATGATAACAGATTTGATAGCGAGGCAGAATGCAAATCAGCTTGTGGTCAGTAACAGGTCTGCAGCAACAATTATTATCCTTCACTTACTGGACTGTCAAATGCCGTTTTATTACGCCAAAGGGTTAATTTAGGGTGAGGTTTAGGGAAAAAACTAGATATACGAGACTTCCGTCCGCTGTTATCTACTGTTTAACCGTGAAATACAGTTATTTTTCTTTTTTCGAAAACTCACCCAAAACAAGTTTGGCCATAATTTATCAAAAGTGTATCAGGTTAGAAGATGCACTTGCCAATTGCATGCGAGGTCTGTTGTATATGGCGTCTTGGTTCTACGAGACGTCACTTCTTCAAATTTTTTTTAGGATTTTACTTGTTCTTATATAACCTATGTTAACTTCCTCAAGGTTTCTTCAACCCTTTTCGTAATTGGATCCCAATATTCCTTGTCTTATATCTTGAAATTAATCTTACCAAACCACTAATCTAGAAACCACTCGTGTAATTCTTTTAAAGTTCTTCACATCAAAGACTGACACATGAGAAGGAAAGAGTCTCCAAGATTTCCTCAACTTATAAAAATAGGGATATAACATTTTGTTTAAGAAAATGTTACATTTCAGAATTTTTCGATTCTTCCGTTTTAGTTTATACAGCGTCAATTGCTGTGCGTGACAATAACCAACTCCACAATTTAGGGTACTTTGGTGACTAAGCAAATTTTAGTTTGTCATTAAAAGTGTGTAATTCTTCTTTCTCCGTGTTCTTTTTTGCAAGGAGTTTGTGAATAGCCACAACAGGTTGAAATATAATTTATTTCATTTCAATGTAATAAAATTTAAAAATCTGAAGTGTTTCTCCCTTCCACCTTTACCTTGCTGGGCTCCTTATAATAGCTAAGTCTGTTCAAACAATTTCATTCTTTTTCAGGTTCTAACAATGGTGACCTTTAGTGTGTTTGGAGCAAGTAAATAAATTTCGGATTTTCAGCTTATGAAAGCCATTCATTATGGTTTGATGATAACAATGTTATTACGGTGAAATATTTCTGCTAGATTAACAAGATGTACTGTTCGATTCTTGTCGTATTCTGAAAAGGAACATCAATAAAGGGTTATGCTTTACACAGTAGCATTAGATAAGACTATTACTTTATTGTTTCTATCTTGGGGTGTTTCAACTGAACCAGTCTCAGAATACGTTTACTTTACGAAAAAATAACTGTGTCCGTGGAAACAGACATTACAATTTGATAAGCAGGAGTATTGTTAACAGAATTTCGTGGTCTTAACAAGAAATTTTCGATCCGATCCTTTTCATGGAATATAACTTAAAACTATTTTGAGCCATTACTTTAAAGAAGCACATCGGGTGGCCAAAAGGGTAGCGTGCATTCAGAGGTCTGGGTTCGAATCATGTCTGGGAGCATTGTGATGTGTTCTCGGCAGTTAAAGGACTTTACTCTCGGAGTCTTTTTACCCACCCAGGAGTTAAAAAAGGTACCAAACTGCCGGGGAAAACTTTAATGGACTATCAGTACTCTTGTCGTTTCAAACTACGGCCAATCCGTACACAATAAGCTCCGGCAGTGTTTTACCATACCCTCTATTAAAGCTCGAAAGGATTAACCGGTTATAACGAATTGGGGACTTTAGGTAGCTTAGCACCCGAAATATAAGAATGAGATCATAATATCCGACCATCCCACTACCAAATTTGGCGTCGTAAAAATTGATAAGAAAAGCTCGCACTTACTGTCAAAGATTTGCCACAAGTTAGTGACAAAACAATGCTTTTCATGGTGCTTGTTCCTCCTATCTGTGGTTTATTCAATTGCTAAATAACTCTGTTGTCAAAGCTGCTCACAGGATTATTTCGAAGTACTCAGTTTAAAATCCCTTAAATCGTTACATACACAAGAAAACAATGACGACCAAAACCTTTCTACTACTGATTGTCTTCGCGGTTGGTAAGTTTAATCTAAACGAACATCTACTGTTATTTGATCTAAGTTACACATCTGTTAGGCTTTCTTCTCATTTTCAAACATAAGCTTAAAAGATAGTTAATTACTCCGTATTGCGCTCACAACGGGAGTTTATAGAGCGGATGTTTAAATACAAACTGATTAGTCCAGTAGCCGTGAAATGAAATATACTCTAGTTCAAACTCATAGACTTTGTTGTGTCTACACGACAAAATTATAACAACAATAAGCTTTAGAATTCCACGTATAGAAAATTTCATCTTCAGCTGTTATTTTTCGGTGGATAGGCATCGCGAGGAAATACGTTGAAAAAACAGATCAATACAAGTTAAATCTATAACCTTGGTTTTATCGCAGAGAACCTGTCAGTACGGTAAGTAAGTGAACCTTCTTCAAAGGCACATAGGCGACTGCTTGTTTTCAAAACGGTTTTTGTTTTTTATGAAATAATTTTCAGTGCGATACCTGAGTACATACTCCTAAAATATCGCTTGATCCTAGTTCGACCACTCTATCTAACGATGAGTTCATAGTACCATGTCGTATTTTTATTTTTGCCGGAATTTGGCACAGAAATTGGTTACCTAAAAATTTACGCCACTAATAAACTGCGCTTTTACTGAACTGAAATTTAATTGAAGCAACTGACTCACTAATCATTTGGAAACTACGTGTGAACATTGCTTTTTCAGCTTGTAAATGTGTTATTCCAAATAATTATTCTACTGGTAGCACTGACATTTGAATGGAACCACAAGACGCGGGAGGAGGGACTACATGATAAGATGACTTGGTTCAATGATCAGATTATTGCTACATGTCACTCTGAATTATTTCCTTTTCGCTGGAGTAACGCATTTAGAGTTTTTAGGTATAAATAGCAATTTAGTATTTTTTTTTCGTGTCCCATTTTTTTACCCACGGTAAGAGCACAAAAAAACAGTTTGCTCTCTCTTGAATGACCTGACTTATCCCCGAGACCCCTCGCTTTCTTGGCTGGTAGAGGTTACAGATTATTCGAGTCGAAATGAAAGCTACTCCAATTTCAGCGGAAGTAAGGATTGAGGGTTGAGACTGTTTATATTTTCTTCCCGTACTGTGATTAACCTTACTTAGTAGAGACTTGCGACTCGAAAGCGAGGCTAAGAATGCTTAGAATATATCTACTAGAGTTCAATCATTAGTGCTACTATCTGATTAGCTACGCTACTCGCTGTTTATTCCTCGATAGACAGTGACTAAGGTGAGTAGCCTAAAAGGGTGTTATCATGTTCGCGTGCGCACTTTTATAGTGAATAGTACAAGGTTTCTAACTTAGACTTCAAGGGTGAAAGACAAAACTTGTATTTCTTTCACTAAACGTCGGGCCAGAGCACCAAATAAATCGTTCACAACTCACTTGGAGCGATTGTTGTAGATTGATCGCGTTTCCTTTTGAGCGGCTGTTTTCTATCTCCTAGTCTGACAGTCTGGTCAATTCATCCAAAGCACTATAAAGTCAGTTGTTAACCCTAATTTCGATAGATTAAAAATTAAATCTTAAGAAATCCTCAGAAACCCTTTGTCTTGTTGACAGTTTCAATTGGGACCAATGCCAAAAATCCAGAAGTCTGTAACCTGCCGAAATTTCAAGGCCCTTGCAGAGCAGCGATACCAAGATTCTACTACAACAGTGATACAGGAGAATGTGAGCAGTTCATTTATGGAGGATGCGATGGTAACGCAAACAACTTTGACACCAAGGAAGAATGCGAGAAGAAATGCAAATAACCTTTTACTTAAGTGAGTTGCGAATCTCGAAAACTTTGCTTCTCTTTACTGTCCGAGAAGGACTTAGAAAAAAAAAATTCATGAAAGCGTAGCCACAGTTACTTTCGACTGACTACACACTGCAACAACAAGAACTACTATTATCACACGGCCGAGTCCTTATATACATTTACAAAGTGTTCTAGAACATTCCAGAAGCTTACACACAAGTATTTTAGTAGTGTTAATTATTAAGTATTTATCATTAAACTAGTAGAATGTTCTACAAAGTTCCATGGTGTGCATGCCAGTATGACTAAGAATTCTAGAAATTTCTGGAAACTTATTTCTACAGTCACTATCTATTACACTTCCCAGAACTTTAGAACTGGTGTAAAACCGAATGGAATTGAATTTCTTTTATTTCTTGTGAACGCATAACATTTCTAAGCTTTCATGGAGGGAAAAGCGTAAAAATAAAGGAGTTAGCTACCTAGTACATGTAGAATAACATTTTCTTTTTTTATTAAGATGAATGCTTCAAGCTCCATTTTGCACATTTTTTTCTGGAATAGCCATCAATGAATTTGACTTCATTTAAAAACTTTTATGCAAGAACATTTAACTTTAATCCAAAATTTGTAACATAGACAGTTGTATCATGAGATGTTCCTTTACATATTAAGCGCGCCCTATGTACACTGTTTTACACCTACAATTATCTCAGTCGATTCTGTCCACTTAACACAAACGGCCCCAGCCTAAGTAACTTAATCCATTGAAAAGAGTAGCAGGATTGGCAAAGGTTTGGTTGGTTTTGAAATAGGAAACTGGAAAAACATAATCCAGCTTTCATTTCTCATCGTCCGATTCCCAGCGTGGCCCTCCTACATTAGTTCATCTCGCCAGTGATGGGAAAAAGGAAATTCCTATGATGCATTTACTTCATCTCATTAACTAGATGACTTTTAGCTCCAAGCATTACACCACACAGCACAAATTTCCCATCATTTACTGTCTTGAAATTCAGTACGTGACTTCCAAAGGGCACGTGATAGGCGACGGGGATGAGCCTTGTGTGTCCAAAGTTAGAGGAAGTGTCAACCATAACACCAGCCTCGTCGTTATCCAACCACACCTTTGCTTTTCCACCTCCACCAGTGGTGCGAAACGCTATGACAACGGTATTGCTTATTTCAGATCTTGAGAAAGGTACGAAAAATCGTAGCTTTAATGTAGAATACGCTGCTTCTGCTTTCCATCCACTGTAGCCATCATTTCGCACTGGTGCGGGTTCAGTTTGTACAACAGTTTCTTTACGGTACCCGATAGGAATACCACGAATATTCGTAAACCCCATATTTGCGATTTCCCTGACATAGAGCGAAGGACGAAAAAATTTTTCAGTTACATCTGGTGTAATTAGAGAATAACATAGTGGGTCTGGGAGAGTTTCCGTGTCGTCCTTAAAAAAAGCAGATTTTGGTAATAGGTATGAACTTAAATGATTTTGTAAGTTCTGTTCAGAACTTTCTATGGCTTTTAGCAGAGCTTTACGAAAGATGTTGATAATCATCATTGCGATCTGTGCATGTGCTAAAATGCCAGCATGATTGTGATCTGATGAAAACATGGAGTAAACATGGACCTTCCCCGAATTTGGACATAAGGATTGACGCGTGCTAACACTGGTAATACCATAATGAATAGCGAGAAAAGTCTGTCCGTGATTTTCTAGGTTGTCGCACACAGGAATTGCGTTATTTCCACCAATGAAATTCACAAATATAACTGCTGGGGAAGATTCTTCACTTAGCAGTTGCCTTGAAAGATTTTCGAGAGATAACGCTCTCGAATGTCGAGAGTCTTTGAAAACTATGTGATCGTTGACAGAAAACTCAAGGAGTGCAATGTTTATGGTATCTCCAGGTCTCATGAAGGTTTTGTAGCAAAAAGAGAAAAAGTTGCTTGCAGTCCCTCCAAGAGCTAAATTGTGTAGTGTGATGACAGATCCTGTAAACGGCTGCACGGCTTTTTGCCACCAATCGATAAATACTCGATAATATATCCCTCTCAGATTGGAAAAATCGCTGGTTAATCCACCGCCAGCAGATATAGATCCCCCCATGACTACGAAGCCAATGTTCTCACCGCGCAAAACCTTTGCCATAACATTTTGAAGTCGCTGTGTGGTTGATGCTCGCTCCACAGTTTCTTTTATATATATCTCAGGCGTAATGGACATGTCCCCCAAGGATTTGTAATTGTCTTTGTGATACCAGACTTCATAGGGGTCTCTTTTGATTGATTTTTTAAGAGCATTGTATTTCCTTCGTGATAACTGGTCTGAAAAAGGTTGGAAGCCAAACTGTCCAATTTGTGACAAACTGAAAGGAAAATCTGCGACAGAGAAAATGATGATAACGAAATAATACTTCCAATTTATCTGCGTCTCTTTTCATTTAAATTTTTAACTCTCGCTACAATGGTATGAAGGACTTCTAACCTATTACTAAGGGAGTTTTATGCACAGCAAAGGTACCCGTTAAAGTTTTAAATATTTACATTCTACTAATTTTTCGTTTTTGTTCTCCAACGTTTCCAATCACCCGCCGCCTGCCTTTTCAGTGGTGTTGAAGCCTACTTCCATTAGACAGGTGCCTTTGTCAACATGCCTAGAGCTGTAAGAGCCCTGAAAAAAATTTTTAACGTATATCCAGAAACCATTGTGGTTTTATTTACTTACTACAAAAGATAGCTTAATGGGCAAAGTTTGAGGTACAACTTTTTTCCGATGCGAAACGCCTTGGACCGCTCTTAAAGAGATCGCCACTTAATCTGCAGCAAATAAACTTACGTATGAAAATTTACTTTAGTTCTTAAGCCTTACGATGTCAAGAACATGATCAAAGATGAAGATGCACATCGACTGACAGCTCGTGAGTGGAGGCGTTTTAAATATACACTTTCAAAGACCACTGAACTTAGAGGTACATATATCTAAAATACCGTGGGGATCTGGGGTAAAAAATAGACGAGGAGCCAGCCCTCGCCACAGCTGCACTCAAATTTTCATTTTTTCATATACGATAAACTTTTCATACGGTTAATCTGACTGGATTTCGTTTTGCAATTCTCGAAAAGGGTTGGCCTACATGGAATAATTGGCTTAAAGGAAACACCGAGAATCTGGGGAAAAAAGTTCAAGATTTATGGGTTACACAGATCTTTTCTTCCTGTGGAAAAACCTTTTTGAGAATCCAAGTTTCTTTGACGCTCGCTGTTTGAAATTTATAGAAATATCTTCCACTAGAGCTCTTTCTACTTTTCAAAGATTGAGCGCCTATTAGTTTTATATGATTACGATTAGTCTTAGAGGCGATCTCCAGAGGCCGTCTTCATGACGGCTGTGTTGAAAATAGATTTAACGGGTAACTGCAAAGTGTCTCATAATCCAGTTAGGTACTTAGCAGGTGACAGTTTTCTCTATTTGACAGGAACCATATAATTTCAGTTAAAACTGACCCGCAGCGATCACACAATCCATGAAGTAACACTGCAAATAATTGTTCGGGTGTCAGACTTAAATGGTATATCTAATGGTCGCCTCAGTTCTAATAATATTTGGTGTAGTAGCTTTGATGTCGCGATTTGATTGGAGATCTCATTTCGTTGTGCTACTGTTGGCTGTGTTTATTACCAAAAGGGAAACTGCACACTGGTTTTACATGGGAAATGCGGCCAGTATTTCACGAAAGGAACACAAAACTGATTCTCGTGATGATTCTATCGGATCAAGGTTGAACGAGGACTTAATTCCAGTGAAGCTCAGACTTCTAAAATTCGCTGTTGAAAGAGATCCGTTTGAAACATGGTTTTTTAAAAACCGATTTAAGTCCAAAGCAGACTTGCTCATAGTTTCCAAACCTTGGGACAGCGGCGTATTCCAACGAAAAGGCACCACAAATCGCCTCAAAGATGTAATCCTACGATCACTGGAGGGTGAGAACATTAACATCGCTATCATGGGTGGGTCAATTTCTGCAGGTGCCGGTCTGACAAATGATGGTGAAGACCTACGAGGCCTCTATTACCGAGTTTTAAGTGACTGGTGGCGCAAAACAGTGCAGCCACTCACAGGGTCTGACTTGAAACTTAACAATCTCGCTATTGGTGGAACCAGCAGCAATTTTTATGCTTTTTGTTACAGTGTTTTTTTGAACCCTAAAACTGACATGGATCTTGTGTTTCTTGACTTCACCGTGAATGACTATGTTCAGTTTAAAGACTCCATGTTTCCAATGGCTCTGCCACTGGAACAACTTACTAGGGAAGTTTTAAGCGAAGGAAGTTCTCCCGCCGTGATGTTCGTCAACTTTGTTCAAGGCGATCTTAGACGTCCAAAATGTGACAATTTGGAGAACCACGGCCAGACACTTCTCGCTAAACACTATGGAATAACAACGTTTAGCTTGAGAAAGTTGCTATGTTCAGGTTTTGCAGGAAAACGGAAAAAGCTTTCCAAAATGTTTGCAACTGACGGCAATCACATCAGCATTATAGGCCATGCTCAAATGGCATTTATGATGATAACCCATGTGCGGCAATTAATTCTTAATGTGCTCGAAAGCTTAATCACAACCAAAAAAGTGAAAGTAACTATTGAAAAAATGTCACTTCCATCAATTGGCGATAGGATAATATTACCAGACTGTCCTCTAAAATTTAGAAATCTTCCAGAAACCTTGTTCATGAGTTACCGTCAAAATCTGCGGGAACGCCCCAGGTGTTTCACTCAAATAACACCCGACTGTACAAGAAACATCACAGCACATCAAAGTCTGCAAGTAAAAGCAATCGGAAATTTTGGATTTGAGGAGTTTCAGAAAATAGCTATCAACAATGTAGTATTACCTAATGCCACATGTGAAGTTAAGCAATTTGGTGAAATGCAGACTCACAGAACAGATGCTTATGGCGGGTGGAAGTCCAAGTCTAAAAACTCAATGCTGGAATTAGAAATACTTATACCAATCACGTCTCTCTCAAGGCAGTGCATTATGGACGCTGCAACTCAGACAAGAAAGGTGGCAATAGCTGTTCGAACGCACGGCAACGGTGGACAGGCAAAAGTGTGGTTAAATGAACATGAAGAAAGAGGAATTTTAGTCACCACTTATTCACTGTTTGGCCACACTAAACTATACACTATTGCCAGTCACGTAATGCCCGGGCGGCATGTGATTAGTATCAGAACAGAAACCCCAGGGGTGTTCATTTTATCGGGTGTTATGGCTGGACCGACTTACAAATGACACATTCCTGAGATGATTATTTTGATAGATCATATGGAAATTGGGCTAATAAACGGGGTCTTGCTAAAAGCAGACCTGCCGCCTTTTAAAAAAGCCTAAGAGCTCGCAGTCCGTAGTCGATTGCCCTGCTACCTTGTTCAACAAAGGTCATCGTCGCCTACAATGCAATGCAAATGATGGTGAGTTCTTATGGTACTTTGATAATATCAGTTCCGCAGTTTGGTGAGGTGACGCTGACCTTTATTTGGCACGCGAACACAACGGAGGCTTAAGGCAGTGGGCTATGAGGTTAGCCGTGGGCTGCGGGTGCGACTGACTTAGCCTAGCGAGACTAAATTTAGTTGAAATTGCCCAGAATATATTTCTCTGGAGGATATCTTGATATGATAGCAATGTCATTAACCTGAGTGTGAAAATATCTGTGGCGATTAACAATGACTGAAGATCGCTTAGTGTGATAAACACCTGTAACATCGACAAGTGATCTTCACCCGTCTACTGCAGTTGAAGTCATCGTCAAGTGATCTTCACCCGTTTACTGCAGTTGAAGTCATCGTCAAGGGACCCATCATCAAATTACGATAATAGCTGAAACTTTTTGCAGGTTGTAATTTTGGCACACACTAAAGACAGGTTAACTAAGCTAAGCTGAAAGCTTTTCAAACTTAACTTGACATATAAAATAACTATATTCCACGTAAACCTGAGACAAAAATCTAAAATGTTCCATAAAATGATCTGTTTAATCCTTCAAGTTATGTACAGTGCAACATCAACACAAATAGGAAAAGACTGTCATTCCAGTTTACATAACAAGCAGCCTGAAGTAAGAAACAAACCACCTGCAGTGAAGCTGAACAAAATCTACTATCTCAAGCGTTCGATTCAAAGAAATCCGTTCGAAGTTTGGTACTTCAAGGATAAGTTGAAGTCTTTGGAGGATTTGTTCCTTACGGCCGAAATGTATAACAACCAGATTGTTGAACGACGAACAACAGAATATCGTCTTAAAAATCTTATGGAAAAAGTTCTACTCGGTCAAGATATTGGCCTTATTGTAATAGGTGGATCAACATCGGCTGGAGGTGGATTAATCAACGATTTCTCTAATCTAAAAGGAATTTATTATCGTGTGTTTGTCGATTGGTGGCAGAAGGCCATACAACCTTTTACTGGATCTCGCATCAAATTGCAGAATCTCGCCGTTGGAGGAACTGCTAGCGACTTTTTTTATTATTGTTACAAAACTTTGATGAGACCTAAAGATAGCCCAGACATTATCCTCCTTGAGCTTTCAATAAACGATTATCTTCAATTTAAGGATTCTCAAAAGCCAAGAGCGTCATCTCTTGAAAAACTTACGAGGCGGATACTTAGGGAAGAATCTTCCTCGGCAGTGGCATATGTCAATTTTACTCCCGGAAATAATAAAATTCCCATGTGTGACAACCTGGAAAATCACGGGCAGACTATGCTAGCCTGGCATTATGGCATTACAAGTTTCAGTATGCGCGAGTCGTTATGTTCAGATGATCGAGAGAGACAAATTCCAGCGTTTTTCACTGCGGATGGAGTTCATAGTGGTAATATTACCCATGCACAAATCGCTTTAATGATAATCAATAGCGTTCGTAAAGCTTTATCAAACACCATAACAAATACCAATCGAGGGCTATTTTATTTACGATTTGTCAACTTACCGAGACCTGTTTATTTTGCGGGCAAAGGGGGATCTGTTCCAGGCCCTCTCTGTTACACTCGCCTCACACCCGACGTAAGTAGCACTTTCTTTAATCCATCCCTCTCTGTCACAGAAATAAAAAATACGGGATTTAAACGAATTCAAAATCTACCTATCGGTGTTTATAGAAGCAGTTCATGGGAAAATAAACTCGGGCCTGTGCGGACTGATGGTTTTGGTGGATGGGAAGCAGAGAAAGTAGACTCTATTTTACAACTACGAATTGATTTACCTTTTAATGGCATTCCTGGGGATAATCAAACTAGAGATGTTCTTATAGCCTTCCGAACAAACGGTTATGGAGGAAAAGCAGAAGTTTCATTGGACAAAAGTAACAACAGCGTCTATGCTGATGCGTATTCCACATATGGATTTACACAAGTCGTTAATGTAGCGCGTCTAGTAAAACCAGGAAGCCACAAACTAAGTTTTAAGATTGTAAAAGGCGGAAAGTTTGCATTATGCGGTATCATGAGTGCAGGCTCAGAACCCGAACTGTGACAAACTAATGAGCCTAGACAAAGCTGTTGATCTGTTGATCACGTGTCTGTTACGATCGGGTAGGGACCGCAGCCTCACAAAAAAAAATGCATCACGAAATACAAACAACTGGCAGATTGAAATGGTTAGGAAGATGGAAACAGCTTACGTATATTTTGTACAAGTACCGATCGTGTTTGCTTTTTAATCGTAGTTTAAGGCATTCCTGCTTTCGGGCAAAACATGATTATGGGATCACGTCACCAGAACGGGACTAGGATAAATTGATGTTGATCACCGAGTCCGCCTCGAGTAGATGGAAATAGTTAACAAGAAGGAAACTGATTGATTATGTTTTGTACAAATACAGATGGGAAATACTGAGTGAGTGCTGTTCGATTAACAAAACTAAATAAGTGAATAAATGATGAAAGTTTACATTTCTGGAGCGAAGTAAGTTCGATTTGCGGTGATGCAGACCGTTTAACACCAGAAATGCGTCAAAATTTTTCAACGAGTTGATAAAAATATAGGAAATATTGAAATGCGCCCCTTCGAAACATATCTGAGGTATGCTGTCGGAATTATCGTTTCTTTTGTTTCAAGTATATGTTGTGGTTCAATTTTATCCTTGGTTAAAATTTTATCTTCTTTTGTTTTTGGGTATTGTAATATATGATAATGAGTCTGAAACAAAGGAAAAGAAAATATGAACCAAGGATAAAATTGAACCCTAACATATATACAATGCATACCTTTAAAATGAAATTTATTTATCGCTAACCTGTCTTTTTTAACTTAATCATTAAGGATAAAACACTTTTAAGAGAGCACAAGATGTTGTAGTCTCTTTGCTCAACTTTTATTCATTTCACTTATTTCATAATCTAATGTTCCGACTTTATTTGACACTTTGCCTATTCATTAAAAATCTGTAATGAAACACATCTTCTGGAAATAAATATACTTTTTTGGCATTCAGCAAGTTTTCATGGTAGTAGTACATATCATGTTTTCTAATGGTCACTGGCAGTGTCTTCGATTGCAATTTCATGGCATGGTTTCAAGAGGTGGTCATTAAACTGACTTATCCATTGTTTCCTACAAAAAATTCAAAAGAGAAAAGAAACAAGATTATCATACAGTAAACTATTAAATAAACTATTACAAGATTATTATATCTACATTGAACGAAAAAACAAATCAAATGTGTTTAATTAGCTACTACACCTACTCGTTTCAAAGTCAGCACAATTTAGTACCTGTTGTCGTTTCCCACGGATGTGTCCCATGTAAGCATTGTTTAAGGCCTCCAATAAATCTTTGTTTGATCCCCACCCTCCCTGCAAAACAAACACACAATGCAGCGGTGGCCAAAGTTTAAAGGAGCATACCACTCTCATTTAAGTTCATTTATGCGACGCGAAATGCCAGCCTGTTCACTTTTCATCTTACCGTCCGTTTTCCCCGAAAGCGGCCAAAAAACTGCCTATTGAGTGCTTTACGAAGCGCAGGATTATAACCCTAACCTTGAAGCTGTAAAGCAAAACAAATGCAGATTCTCTTAACTGATTATTACAGGATTCATACAATGCTTGTTAGGAGAAGTTGGCACGTCCATCAAGTGAACTGGGAGTCATTTCACCTGCTTGACTATCAGCTCAGTTATTAAGCTGGATAAAAGATTTCCGGCAGGGCACTACATTTGTTATGCCTTATCCTGCACCTAAGTGGCTGGTTCAGCAAATCAAATATAGAAATTTCGAAACTCTTATCATGGTTTTCCCATGCTTCAGGCGAACTGCAAAGAGGAAACGAGAAAATTTTCGCAGATTTTCAACTCTTATGATCCAGATTGTACTGTGAACCATGAAGGTCAAAACAGGCAACAGTCATCGACGAATGTTTCCTTCTTAAATGAGGCAACTGCAGTTATAATCTTTGGTTATTGTTTCCTCTCTTTGACAGGGTTAAGTTCGGTTCAGCTGAATTGGTTGTTCTTCAGGGAACTTATTATCCCATTCACCGTTAGTTATCATGTTCTTAACTACAAAGAAACAATTACCGTTCTCTTTCCTCTAATATGTCCAAAATATGCTGAATTGAGAGCTTCCTCTAGTGGCGGATAATCATCTGATTGCTGAAATAATAACAAATGACATTAAGGACTTGCAGTTCAGGTGTAAAATCCCTAAAGCTCATCCAAAAACATTTCTAGTTGGACAAAAAAACGCACATTTCTCAAGCGGCTGTATAGTGTATATGTTGCTCTACACTGCCAAAACTAAGCGAATAAGAGATTGCTTTAAACAAGCAGTCACTGGACTGTCATAGTAAAAGCCAGGCATTACCGTTCTTTTTCCACGAATATGTCCAAAATAAGCATTATTAAGTGCCTGTTCCAAGGGTGGATTATCATCCTTGCCCTTTAAAATAAAGAGAACTTCGAGTTAATTGAATAATCTGTAACAAAAAAAAGTAAAAAGTACCTTTCGTTTTGATCAGTGAAATGTCAAATTAATTGAGAGTTTTTTCATTTACACTAGAAGCTGATTAACTAAAATAGTACCTGTCGGTATTTGAATGTAAGCAAATTAGTGCTCAGAGACACAAGGAAACCATGCACAGTTTAAAAAAAATAGATATTCAGTATATTTTCCATGGTAGAGCCGCCCCCATTAGCCACTATTCTTTGAAATCCTCTCTACAGTCGGAAAAATTCACAAAAGACTTTTGTTTTACTCTGAGAACTGATTTTTTTTCCATGACTGGGTATAGAGGTCTCTTTCACCGACCTTTTATCTGAGTACAACATAAGATTTCAATAAAAAGGAACTCCTTTTCTTCAAAATTTCGATTTTGATCTAATTCATAGGATGAAAATCACGAGGCGTATTGTATCATTATATCAGTGCGTGGTTACAGGCTGTAATGTGAGATGTTAACAGAGCGATCAAATACTAACCGTTCTTTTGCCCCTGATGTGACCAAAATATTTAGAGTTTAATGCTTGAAGTAAGCCGGGCGGATCCTCAGAGTTTTTCTCTTTTTCACTGCTTGCTAAGCAAACCACACAAAATAAGACAGCAAGTCTTAAAAACATCATTGACCTGTAAAGAAATACATACAAACATTAAGTCTCTTCGTCTTTTTATAATTAATTGTTACAATGGCCATTGTTTCAAGTTTCACTAGCCTATCAAGCTCGCACCAAATTTTTCTGTGCAATATCAGGAGTCGCTAATTAAGACCTTGGAGGCAAGTGCGCGATAGATTTACTCAGGCAGCTGGATATTAAGATAAAATAAAGCACTAACAATTTCTTTACTTTTAAGGATACTTAATCTTAAGTTCCTACGTTTTTTTGTATATATTTCTTCATCTTTAATGACCGTTTTTAAGGTTTTCTCAGAGTAAGTGTTCCATATTGTGGGAAACTCATTATTTTGTCTTCAGTATAAAACCAGACAAAAGCAGGAGAATTCTTTGAGCAAGACTAAATCCCGAGAATAAAGATGTAATCACCAAATTTTAGCGCTTTTAAGAGGAATGATAAAGTCAAATAAGTGACATGAAAAAAGAAGGAATTTTGCACCTAATTGACACAAAGAGTAAAAGGGAAAGACGCAAACACAAAAGCTTGAAACTATCTTATCGTTAATAGGAACTTTCACAACGATTAATACTCAATATCTGGTTTGGGTGGTACCCATTTAGCCAAGAGATGGCAATCAAGAAGAAAATCACAGGATTTCCAGGAACAATGCGACTTTGTCGTGACAAATTCTGTAAATGTGCTCTAAACTATTGTTATAATATATCGTTAGTACTCGCAAACGACCAAATAATTACACAAGAAAGCAGCGAAGATTTTAAAATATCTGATGAAAAATTAGTTGTAATTTCACAAGGTCCGCAAAAAGGGAACTTTACTTTTTCTTCCTAAGCATAGCACATGGCTCTCAAAGTCTATTTGCTTTATTTTTTCTTTTTTGTTTTGTTCTTACGCGAAGCGTGAATTTATCTTATGTAGTTTAGAAATGATAAAAAATGGAAAAAAAATCGTGGTACAAACCAAGTTTTAGTTGGGTGTTATCCAATTGAACAGACCAGCTTCACAAAATAGAGCACACATGACACAAAAAAATGGTGAAAGCGTTTTCATCTAACATCATCTTTGAGCTCATGGTAAGCATTTTTGAATCATCTTAAAAACTTGGCTCGGCAGTCAGATAATGAAAGGCAAGAGCATGCCCATGCGAAAAAACAACACTCAAAAAATAAATACTCAAACATCATTGTAAATGAAATGTTATCACACACAATCTTCTTACCTGAACGTTCACTCCTGTTCCTTGTCAATGAAAAATCGTCTCGGAAGCAGATTTACAAAATGTGGCGTGTTGATGGCACCGACTGAAAGTGAGCCTCGGCTGAAAACACTGCTCTTAATATACAATTCCCTCCAAGCATTTTCACTGTCAACACTTCAATTATATTTTTAATTACAGTCTCACTTATCATCATTAAATAAAATGTTCTTCTCGGCTGACGCAGAACAAACGTTCTCCCACTGGTTACAATTAGCAGTTTAAAGGGCATCCGGTGAAACCTCATTAACAAGTATGTTTATTTATTCCTATCGACAATTACTACTCCGCCTTTTCATTCAATATTATTTCTTTGTGCCCGATATTAATCAGTGGAAGTAAAAGAAAAGAGAGATTTCCTTTGTTCATAGGCCACATTTTATTTACCGGCCCAAACATCCGCATCATAATTTCTATTGCTTCCATCTTTTTCAAACATAATAGTTCCAATTTCTCTAAATAGCTAACATTTTCGTTAAATGAAAAAATTTTAAAGAATTTATTCAATAAAAACTCTTCCCAGCCCATTTTTATCATTTACATTAATTTTCAAGGTTTATAAACTCCTCTTGAATGAAAAAGAAGTCTTCAATGGCGGATATTGTGAAGAGCTTTGGTAATCATATTCAAGTTGGGTTTCTAATGAGCACATATTCGCTTCCTTTCTTTGAAAAGTATATTTCCAAACTCGACAGCCTTTTCTCCAATCACAGTGCAAATCCCTCCGTTTAAACCATACAAAACAACGCTGTTCTTATTTTTTTAACTTCATGCTGTTTGCAGTAGAAAGCCACGTTTTAATTTGCCTTTTGTGAAGAAATCAGTGTCATTACCCGTTTCAAGGCCGCTTGATAACTTCTGTTTATCATTTCCGAAATAAAATAATTTCTACCTCCCATGATAACACCACGGGGCATTTTAATACTTACAAGTTTATTCATTTCTTAGATTTTGGTTTTGCCTCGAGCACTGTAAGTGTGCCTCAATAAATTCAGTTGATTCTCAAACGTAAGAAAGTATTTATGTGTTCGTCATATCCGAGGAAGCTATCTTTAGCACTAAGCCTAGAATTTTATAACTTCAGATCTTCGCTTAAATCTTTGCTATTTAATTTGAGTCAACTTCTCGTTGTGAAATAGCGACAAAAATGACTGATTCAGTTTATTCTAAACAACGGAAGACTTTTTGCGACTGGGTGAAGTTTTAAAGGAAGAGGCATTTAGTTAGATCGATATGTGAGTTTAGTGATAAATCTTTTCTTCTCTGGATTAAATACATACTTCCTAACGGAAGCTTAGTAATTTATGAAATCAAAGCCTTATTGATAACGTAGAACCAAGCTCGACTTAGTCATTCACCCGAGTTGAGATTAGCCTTCTATCACTAAGCGGTACAATCTGAGTGAAAAGCTGTTCAGTCAGTTTATCCATCTGTTAATGTTTTTCCTTCACTGGGCAACTTTTTGACCATGTTGTCCATAAAAAAATACACTCGATTTATTTGAGCTCCATTTTTTTTTTTTAAACCAACTTCACGAATCTTATTAACCAGCCGGTTTTCGATAAAGAAGAGGTGGGAAGCCATATGACTGTTTCCAGTTATAAGAGGATATCAATAGAGTTAATCGGTAGCCGTAAAACGGCCAAAGAAATGGAGCCGTTAGACGTAAAAATTGACTAAGTTTAAAAACTGATTAGTCTTCACTGCTTGGCAAGGGAGTCTGGGAGTTGCAAATATTGCCAGTCCTGACCAATAGCACAAATGAATGATTAATGGTCACACTTTGGATGAAACAATGCCCTGTAAAATAAGACATATGCACTTAAAACTGGATACAGAATATGTCTGATATGAATTTCTAGGATTGCAGTTAGTTTCTCTCGCATTTCCCCCAGCGTAATCCGCCTAAAGCTTGGAACAAAATAAGAACACTCTAGGTTTATTCCTCCCCCACCCCTCCCTACCTTAAGCTCATCGACGCCCACACTTTATGAAAACAGCGGTTCTTCAAAAAAGCGCGCCATTTATAATGGAGGATGAAGAGGACGATCTGCTTTATTCTCCTTTTAGTAGAAAGACTGTAGCACATACTATGATCGAAAATGTATTGTCAGTCTATCCAGATGTTGATCCAATAGATATAGCTAAAGATTTGGAAATCACCAGAAGTCCAGTGAAAACTGTTAACAGGATACTGGATGGTCAGGTCAGTATGGTATTAAAAGGAAAACAAACCGGAAACCGATCTTAAAAGTTTGAACCATCGTTTGTAACATAAAAATCGTTTAATTTAGTCCATTGGTAGGAATTTTCTTTTAGGTATGATTTGATAATGAGTTTTTTCTATTTTAACTGCTGATCAGGACTGTACCTGTGCCTACTTTCACAAATTCGATTTTTTTTTAAAACGTTACTCTGTTTACAAATCTTTCTTTGTCATTTCCTTTACATTTTGTGCGAGCAACTGAAGACATAGCCAAATGTCCAAGCGTCAAATTTGAAAGAAAGAAATTCATAAAATACTGTATATTATTCCATGAACTGTTTAATGAGTCTCCAACTAAACACCACGACAGACAGAAGCTTGTTTTGGGACCAGACAGTTTATTAAATGTATATATCCTACATAAATAACACACTAGACTATTACATAAAAGATATTTGACAAATGCACTAAACCAACGATCCAGTAA